CTTCGGAAGGCCAGGAGTGAGGGGGCCAATCGCACCTCCAGGGGCAGAATGTTCCAAAGAGATATATGCAGAACAGAAAATTAGGTGCTGACCCAAAAGATTTTGCTGCCCCATACAAAGCAACAAATGGCGCCTTGCCCTCACCCATATCAAGGGGTAAAGTACTCAAAGTCAGCCAAGTTACTTCGATGCATGAGGCAGAAAATCCTACAGGCACCTCTCTTCAGACCTACCTCTAAAAATAAGATAACTAATACACTTCTGCCCTTTGCATGACACTTCATCTTCTTCCTAATGACAGACATAACTCAATTTGGGAGAATGATAGTCTTTTTTCAAATCTTGAAGGGAAATTGCACTTTAGGGTAGATGTGCACATCTCATTTTTGTGTGGCAAATCATAATTATGAATCAAATAGCCTGGTTTAGGTAAATCTTCTTTACATATTATAGGGTACACACACAAGTAACAGTAATGATATGTTGCTTAAAAACCCGATCTTGCTATTTCAACTATTATTCAAATCCATTTCTCACATACCTGTAGGGAGGAAAATGGTATGGACTTCTTTCTGAAAAGTGTTTTTAGTAAACTGTTACCATTTATTTCTAGACCAATAGAGGCTTTCAATTTCTTATGTGTTCCACAAAGTCAACTAACAAAAGGTACTTTAGGTTGAAATTTTCTTCACTTTTTAAATGTAAAAAGTCCTTAACAATTTGGACGGTGAAAAGAAGCGGTATTAGTAGAGTGTGCTTAGAAATGCCAAGAGATTCTTAGGCAAGGACACTCAAATAATCTACTTTGGGCTAGAGATTTAGACTGTTAATACTTTACAAACTAGGACAACTTCTGCACATATTTAATGAAGATGGCATGCTTTCTACATGCCTCCACTCAGCTCCCAAGAATTCCTACAGACAGGCCTTCTGTTGAAAGAAATGACAACGTGCTTGGTAAGATGAAGAATACTGAAACACCTTTGACAGCTAATCCCCAAAGAAAGGGGATCAGGTATCAGTGAATAAGGTGAAATATTTGTCATGTACCTAAGACGGTGTCACAAACACAAACACATGTATTCAGAATCTCCTGCCAATAGGAATACACAATTGGCAGATAATAACTCAAAGTACCTTACTATTTTCATGATAGGATAAAAACAAAACAAAACAAACAAAAAAATACAAGTTCTTTCCTCAGTAGAGCAAACGTGTTAAATGAAGTTAAGCAATCCTTAAACTGGTTTACTAATAAAAAGGAGAGGCAATATCTTTTGTTCCCATTTTCATAATTAGCAGATTGAATATGAAAGTAAACACCATTTAGGGCACTTCCATACTGCTACCATTTCTATTCCCTAATCCCTTAAAAGCATTTTTGAAGACAATTTGCAACTGTCTTCAGTTCTGCTGATTTAAAAACACTGAGAACAAGAAGCAAAGAAGTTCATTAATCACTGTTCTGCCCTAAGTTGCTGCAGATCCTAAAATTACAAAAAATCCCCTCACTCACATTCCACACAAAAGGACATTTAAAAAAAAAATTGCTTGCAAACCCCATACCTTCCGGGTGCTACATCATGTTGTGTGTGTTTATCTGGCTACATGCAAAAAAATCTAAGAAGTTCCCAGCCACTTTATCCACTTGAAAGACCTTCTGGGCACAGGAGCTGGGAGGTGTGGTGAGGAAAAGTAACAGAAAACTGAGTGCCCACAAGTTCCATAGAACTGCTGCATTTCAAAGAAAATGCTACTTCTATTATTATTTCAAAAACGCAAATAGTATCAGCTGTCAAACATACAAAATAGCGCAATTTTCCTGAGCTGCTTTTAAGGTGATACAATCCCTGTGTAAAGTGTTCTTAGGATTTCACTGTCAATATTGAGAGACAAAAATTAAGACTTGCTAAAAATAACTGAGATAGAAAATCAAGTTACTTTGCAACAGTTGTAATCACATTTGATTCCTCAATAGCACCAAAACCATAATGAGAAAAATAAGATCTTTCCTCCTAGCTGCCATAGCTGCCATCAGCCTAAAATTCCAATCTGAATTTGAAATAACAATTAGGTAGGAAATTTGGGATTTGTCCCACTAGGTATTGCTTCTATAGTGGCACTGTCACCTTTTTAATTTCTCTGATGCCCAGCAAAAGAGACCCAGCGTCATTCTCAGGCATAGGCAGGGGGAAAAATGAACCATGTATCATGATATTACAACATAAAAGTACTTGCAACTGATGTTGGGACACAAGTAAAAAAAAAAAAGTTCATGCTGTATTGTCACCATATCTTGTCATTTCTTCATCATAATTATCGTGGATACCTATGTTCCCATGGTTAGCTATAGAAAACCTTATTTCTAGTTGCTACTTTGCTTCCGAAGAATAAGGCTCAGTTAAATTACCTTTCTTCGCTCTACAGGTAGAGGATTTTAAAAAAGGGAGGGAGATGTTAAGTAAATGGTGAGGCTATTTCAATCAAGGCTGACCACAATAGTGTGTTAGAAAAATAACATATAGATTTTCTTATTTGTACTCCAGAGTTTTTATCAAGGTAGGGTTTTTATCAAGATTAGTGGTTCAACTCTGAGCTGCACACTGAGATGATAACAGAGTACTGTACATGCTACAGGCAGGTATGGATGTGAAAGTGGGAGATTGAGAAAGATCCTGTAGGTGCTTTAACTTACAGATTTGGAAAAGATTACCATGGACTGCAAAAAGAACAGTCAATCTGGGACCAGATAAAGGCTCAACTATGCTTGATCAGCATAGTTTGAGCATCTGATGCAGATGGATGGGCTAGGGCAGGGGTCGGGAACCTTTTTGTCTGAGAGAGCCATGAACGCCACATATTTTAAAATGTAATTCCGTGAGAGCCATACAATATGTTTAAAACTAAATACAAGTAAATGTGTGCATTTTATGTAAGATCAACACTTTTAAAGGAGGTTAGGCCCAAGCCGGGGGCTCGATTTTCAGCCACTGGTGGAAAGTGGCACCGTGCCTGAAATATGTCTTGTACCTCGTTGGGGCCACAAACAGGGAGCCAGCCCAAGATGAGGACTCACCCAACAGAGCAGGGGCAGCGGAAGCAGGATGAAAAGCGGTGTACCCGGATCGCATTCGCGTGGGCCGCCGACGGGAGCTAGGCCGAAGCCGGGGCCTAGATTTGCAGCTGCCTGTGGAGGACGATGC